TTTTATCTCTAGTTCTTTTATTATTATAAGACCTTTTAGTTTGTATTTACTTATTTTTGATCTATTTATTTCTGTCTTATCTATTATTTAGTCTACTGCTACTTTAATTTGATTGCTACTCTTACTTATTAATTTATTTGAAATTATATAAATGTTTTTATTTAATCTTATCTATTGCTAGCAACTGTTTTTATCTGTTTTTCTTTTCTTATACACTCTTTATATCTATTAATCTTAGTTACTGCTTTATTTTCTTTATATTCTATTTGCTAATGTTCAATTAATATCTTTTTTTTTCTTTTTGACCACCTTTCCAAGCTATCTGTAATCTTGTATGTCATATACTATCTATTTTTTTCTTCTTTTATCTTCTAATATATGCTTCTATTTAATTTGCATTATCTGAGTATTTTGTTCACCTATTCTAAAACATCTTTGTACTACTCTACTCTCTAGATTACTAAGCACTTTTGATTCAATTGCTTTAAACCATTTTGCTTTTTTTTCCTTTATTCGATTAGCCCTGATAGCTTTTGAGTGGCTATTATATGATTAGCTTTTCTTTTTTTGTGTCAAGTAGTTGGTTCGGATATATTAGACCAGCTTTATTTACTCTAACTGCTTCTTTTTTTCACAAATATACATTTACCAGTTCTTGTATTTTAGTATTATACCTAAACATTATCTATAGTTCACTTTTTGTTTTAATATTTATTTTTAGTTTTCTTGCTTTAAGTATTATAAGACATACTAAGTTATTCTTCAAATATGTTTTGGTTTTTGGTTACTCTTTTGTCTTCTATATATTTTTTGCTAAGCCTGCTCTTTAATAATCTTATATTATTCTTAGCCTTGTTAGTTGTTTAAGAATGTCTTGTCTGTTTAGTCTTGCTAAGAGGCCATTTACTTGCTTTATAGTTAACTCTTATTACAATGTTCTATAGCTGCTAAAATCTTTGTGTTCTATTATGCAGTTTTCTATTTTTTTTGCAAACTGTTTTTTTGTTTTACCAAACTTATTATTGATTGATATATTTCATTTAGATTTTTGTTTGACATTTTCATTAGTTGTAACATATAGCTTAGTTTGGATATTATTACTATATTGTTTATATTGCAATCTGGTTTATTGTTATTTTTTTGTATTTTAAATCACTTATAGTTTGGTTTATTATCCCTTTTGCATTCTTCTTTAATTGTATTTCTTGCATTCTGTTATTTAACTATATTTTTAATAAGCGAACTATTTTATATCTTGGTTCTTTTATTATCTTGCTTTTCTTATATATTATTACCTTTTTTTGATTTTTGTATTCATTATTATTAGTTTTAACTTTGATTTATTTATTTTTATATTATTTATTTCTAAGAACTCTTCAACTATTTCTAGAATTTTTAACAATTACTCTTTACTGTTTGCAATTCATATTGTTTTATCTGTATATGCAATTGCTACTTAATAATATCTTGTAATATTGTTGTATTATGTACCTTTTGACCTCTAGGGTCGATAGCATAGCGGTTATGCTCCAAGGTCACAAATCGCAAGGTTGCCAGTTCAAATCCTAGTGACGGCAATTGTAGAGATGCATTTCCAAAATAGGGAACTGCAACACCATGGTACCAGGGACCCAGGGCATCGAAAGACGGACTTATTTCCGGAAATAGCAACTGACCTTCAATTGAGAAGCCACATGGTGATGAACATGAGTTAGAACCTGATTTGGAATAACCGAAGTCATGAGACATAATGTGAGGCCAAGAAGTCTGACAATGAGAGATACTACATGAACTCATGGTGATAGCCGGTTCTGAGTAGAGCCTGGTGAAACCTTCTGATACCGGCAGGGATCGGTGCGACGAATCGCTCTTAGAAAGTTTAAAAGTACAGACTGGGGGAGGTCGAGGTTCAGCGACCCAGGACATTTAAGAACATTAGTTCGAGAATATAAGAAGCATGAACAACCTTGGCAAGATCGTCAAAGAGTAAAAAAAAAAAAAAAAAAAAAATTATGTACCTTTTTGTAACAGTTGCTTGACTAAACTTTCATCTTCTTGAATTTTCTCTAATAATAGGTCATAGAAAAGACACTATATTAATGGTAAGATTACTTCATTTTGATCTATTTTATTTTCTGCTATTAGTTCTTTTGTTAGACTGTAGGTTGTAATTATTCTTAATTGTTTCTTATAAAAAAGATTCAATATATATTTAATTATTATCTTGAATATTTTGACTCTTTGCAATGCTAGTTCAAGACTTTCAAGAAGAACTAAGTCAAATGCCTTTTTTATATTCTGCAACAGTATTCATATTTCTTTTTTTTTTTTTTGTTTCTTCTATTATCATGTTTAAAATCTGTACTGGTTGCTCTGTTAAGTTTCCCGAAGGCCTGTGAAGTTTGATCCTTTAAGTATTTCTCTTTTTATAAATACTTTGGCAAGCTTTTTCATTACTATGACTTACTTATTTTATATATATGCTTAAAAACATTTAATTATATCTTATAATTCTTTTGAATTACTAACCTTAAATCTTGAATATTAAACTTTCTAAAAACCTATTACATTGTTTTGATATATATTGATGATATCTTTTAGATAGCCTTTTCTCAGTCTGAGCTTACATATTTATTGCCTATAACTGAGTCTTTCTATGCTATGACAAATATACAAGTTAACTTTTCTAAATTAATCTTAACTACTAACCACTCTTCACCCAATTACGTCTCTATTCTTTGCAACAACCACTCTTTTTCTTTTCACTCTTTCAATTAACCTTTTAAATTTTTTGATTGATGATTTACTTTAAATAATAAGCAATCCAAACAAATAAAATTACTTTCTTCTAAGTTATCTCAACTTATTCACAAAATATCATATAGTCCTGACTCTGTGAATCGTGAGCATAGTTTTAATGAAATGGTAGTAGTTTCGATTCCAAAAATTCATAAAAATAAAGATTTCATACATGTAATTTTTATTAAATTATATTAATGACGTATTAAATATAATCAAAAATTTTAATTTTAACTAATATAATTTAAATCAAAAGTACAAAATTTTTATCCAAACCAGTTTTTATTTTGAATTAAACGATTCTTTATTAGTAAAACTTTTAGTGATCTTGGGGCTTAGTTAATTCGGCCCTGCCGATCATGATTCCGAGGTATTCCGACACAGACCTCCTGCAGTGTGTGAAAGTCAATGCTCTCAATGTTCTTTGAGAACAAAAAATTTCCAAATTTATTATATAGGTGTTCTTGTGAGAACATAAAATTAAATTCAAATTTCATACACTGCCCCCCTGTATGAGTTGTTCCATTTATCCTTATATAAATTTATCCGGATAATCCGACAAATATTTGGATAATAATTATTCAGATATCAATATCTATAGTAAACGGATACCCGGATAAATTCAGATCAGATACTTTGATAAACGGTTAATGGATTGGAACTCTAATATACGTATTACAGTTGATTGTGATGCTTACTGCTGATTGTGATGCTAAATTCAGATAATAAAAATCAGATCAATACTAATTAGCCAGTCTCATGCGTTTCAGCCAAAATTTGTAATAATTATTATACATACAGCCTTCACGGGGCGGCGAAGCTGCAATTCTAGTTTTTAAATAAATTTACTTACGTGATCGGTTTTGATTGGTCGATCGGACTCCGATGACAAATCGACATCTCTAAATTTATTAATCACATAACGATAAGGTAAAGGGTAGTATGGCGGTGTTAAAAAAGAAAAAATGTGTTTGCATAAAATTTTTAGTGCCAAATGATTTTATCGTTTGAGAAGCAAAGTGGTGAATCGACCGATATCGATATAAAGCATCTACTCGCTTTATATGAATAAAATGATCGTTTAATGATTATTTGGTACGAAATCCAGTGATTAGAAATAATTTTTTTTATTGATTAGCTTGGTGAGACAAATTGAATGGTATAAGAATCACCCAACTCCATTTGATAGACCCGTGTTAACTTCGCTATTATGTGATATGCCACTTTACCAATTCTGCCATATTATCCCTTTTACCTTATAAAAGTCAAATAAATCAATATTAGCATGTTATTCAGAAGATCAAAAAATATATTTTCTAAAAGCTTGATACGAATTAACTTTTTATTAATGTATTTTTTTTTTATTTTTTATGTCTTACAAAATATTGAGAACCAGGTTTTAAAATTTGGTTTTAAACCAAACCAGATTTAACTTGGGTTATATAAAAACCTGGTTCTTAGGTTTTTAATTTTGGAACCTAAAGGTTTCAGAACCTAAACCAAATTTTACCATCCCTATTTAAAAGTTGAGTCTTTGCTCGGTTGACACGCTTGCCGGTCCAGACGGCTAATGTAGCATATAATTGATTCACAACCCAATCGCATAGATCTTGTCAAGGGTCTCCTGTTGTTGGTATATGGCGTTCATTCTAATAAATGAATGAATGGATGTTGGATTAATTAGAAAAGCACAATAGCATACAAAACTATAATAAGAAATCAATGTGTACTTTTTCTCTCTTTCAAGTTCAGCGGACAAATAGGTAATGTATTGATGGAGACGGTTGATTTCATCAAAAAGAAAGTTTTCTTTGGATTTCATGTTCTTAAGATGCGCGACGGCTGATTAAAAATACATTTTGCGACGCGTGATCATAAATCAGCTCAAGTTTTTAATGAATACGCGAAAATATTGATTGGCATTATTTGAACATAACGAATGATGATGCAAATTAAAGATCAGAATGATATGAAGACGCGAAATATTACTTTTTTGAAGCAGTGTAGCCTTGCTCATTTTGCGCCCGTTCGTATTAAAAGGAAGTTGACGTCGAAGTTGTTCAAAACCATCTTTAATTTCCGCGCGTCGTCTTTGTTCAGATTGGATATGTATTTGGCGGCGAAATTCGGCATGTGACACGGAACTAAAAGCATATGAATGGAAGGGAATTTTTGATAAGCCAAAAGCGCGTCGAATTTCTTCAAACAAATCTATTTCGTGTATTCGAAGTTTATTTATCGAACAGCTAACAAAAAAAGAAAGGATATAAAATTGCCTGTTGCCATCCTCCTCTTCATACCCATCTAATGAAGAAGCAGTGTCACATTCTTCACGTGTTGGTTTGCGCCTTCTACGATTGCCCGACTTTGCACTCTCATACTTTTCTTTATTGTATTGTTTGAACTCAGGAATATCTAATTCATCCGGTGTTACAGAGTCACGATAATCGAACGAGGTCATAGGTGAAGAAGGTGCGGGAGAAAAGAGCTGTTGAGGTGCCGGATTTTCAGATGAACTTGACAAAGTTGGAGGTACACATACAAACTTCAAGTCTACAGGTTTGAAAAACAGGAGGTGGTTGGTTATTACTTTTATTTCTGAAAAATATCTTATTTTTTAACTTTAAAATCATTGTCTGGTCACGTCCAAAGCTTTATTTGTCACGTCATTATTCTCGCGTTTGGAAGATTTTAGGCTAATAAAAATACCTTAAAGTATTTACCTGTACTGACAACAGGGACTTGTGAGACTTCTTGTTGAATCACGAAGCCTCCATTAATCTGCTGACGAAGCATTTTATTATTCGTTTCTTTTCAGGTATGAGTTATACAAGGAGCCTCGAGGTCGTGGGAGGTAAAAAAAAAATTCTAGGATGATTCCGGTATTTAATATGGAAGATGTTGATATAATATCTATACCCACCAATTACAAGCAAGATTGACATTCAGGAGAATACTAGAACTAGTCAAGCAACAATATTTGTGATTGCTCACTCGGAATTAACTATAGATCATAACAATATCAAGTTCATGAAAAGGAGACTTTTACATTTATCATAAACCCCACAAGGTAGCATTTAAATACGTACGTAGGTAGAATGATATTTATCAAATCAATTAACGTTGGTGATGTAATTCGCGAAGCCATGTGACTATGTAAATAAATTTCGTTTATAAATGAATTAATGTGGTGCGAATAAAGAAATTCTATGTAAGCAATAGTATTTTTTAGACATCGACTGGGTCGATTTGGTTTTTTTATCACACTGTCTAAGCCAGTTTTAAAAATTCAATAAAATTTTATAGATGAGGTATAACAACTTCTCGTGATTTTTTTCTTCGAATGACACTCTCCCTCCATTTTAAAATCATCAAAGCTACCAAAATATATGTAACTGTAATCCCACTCCTCACCATTATACATCGCAAATTCATTATATTACGCCATTCTTTTACTAAAGACCTAAGTTTGACCAGCCATTTATTGGTATTGTTCCCTCTTCCTATAACTTCTTCCTTTTCTAGTATATCTTTTTGCCGAAGATCAACTTCTAACTTTCCACGACAACTTGGACATGTCGGCATTGGCCTTAATAATTTGATTTGTGTCAGCCTTGAATTTAGATTTTGACCTGGAAGAGTCCGTGATATTCCCGCCAATCCTGTAGTGTACCACCGAAACATACAGGGTCGATGAGCTACGTGATGAGGAACATTACAATAATTTTCTAGAACCCCTAACGAATCCTCATCCACATTTTCATCGTTATCCTGATCTGGATAAAAGGATGTTGCACTAGAACCCACGCCAACACCATAACATACACAACAATCTTCATCTTTCGTATCTTCTGGGGCGGGACGTCCTCGAATGGTGTAACATGTAGAATTACGTATATGAACAAAATGCCTCAGAAGGAAAAAATGCATCAATTCTTCGATGAATAATGTAGGAAAATAAATCCAAAATAATTTCGGAATTAATGATATAAGAGGTGGAAGAGGTGTATTACGCGGAGAAAACAATGACTATTTATAAAATATGGTGATCAGTTCGTTATATCCTTTGCTGCCAAATTTAAGAAATATGTACTTCTACCTTATACTTCAGCCATCGCAAAAGAGCGTATACAATCTGGAGATATATATGCAAGAGAGTGATAAGATACTGGTTATTAATGAACCCATCTATGTTGATAACTTATTATAATTTCACTAATATCGGTTTTTTATTTTTTTTTAAGTCTGAGTTAAATACTGTAGAAATCCAATAGAACAGTTGAATCTAGCATGTTCTTCGACCAGTATTATATGTTTAGCACATCAAAATTTAATCAAATAATCCAATTAAAATTCTACCGATTCGTACCAGCATATACCAGCATGCCATTATTTTTTTTTCATCTTCAGCAAGCCTCTTGCGAAAAATTAATGGAGCGCCTCCACGCGCATTATAAAGCACCAAATAAGCTATCGCAAAATAACCATTGAACCATGTAAAGTTGAACTTTATTTCAAGTGTAAATAACATAAAACAGCGAATTCCTCCTACCTTTAGTCCATGAACTACAGGCCCATGAAATGAAAACAATAAATTTAGCATAGTCAGAGGACGACATTGATCTAATGTGAATCGTTTAAGCGTCTTTAAATCTCCTACGTATAATTTTGATTATCACATTATCACACCAGTCGGTGTGCAAACTATTTGATATGAGGTCAAATGATCGACGCACCTAAATTTTATATCTAAGCTTATTTTATAAGAAAGATAAGAAAGGAATCTTTTCACGATTTTTACTGTTTGTTTACATGTGATAATAAAATAGGGGTCAGCATGATGGAAAATCCATAATAATTTAAAATATGTGATTAAATTTGCATGATTTCATATACATAGAACATTTACTATAACAGCCAATGAAATTTCAGGGATTGACAACCAATCAAATGGATTTTCGACCATGCTATAGCGATAGAGGTCATAGGCAGAAATTTGTCTGATTGGCTAGCTTCGTAGATCAATTTGTAGATCTACATGTGATTATTAGCCAATCAAGTTCTAAAAGCGAAAACTTCAAGAAAAAGTTTATACAAATCGATAAATACGTATGATTTATTGGTTTATATTAGGGTTGGATCGGTCTCAAAAGACTAAGTGAGAACCAGTCTTTTTGACCAGTTATGCAGTCTTCGGTCTTTAATCTTTTAATCAGTTCAGATTGGTTAATAATAAACTTTTAAATAATTAATTATACTATTATTATTATATATCAATATTAATTCAATAATTAAATAATTAAATATTACTATTATTATTTATTATTAATTTAATAATAAATCAAATATACGAATTATTTATGGCTAACTTTTTTTAAATATTTTGCATCAGAATAAATTATATATAAATTATATAAATTCTTACATATTATTATATATAATTATATATTATTATATATAAGTATATAGGCTGTCATTAATAAAAATCAGGCAGATTGACATTTTAAAAAAAATCAATTACTTACCTTTTGCAGCTCATATTTTGATAAATTTTGATGCCAATTTAATTATTCAATAGCTGAAAGAAAGCTTAGAGTTTAAGTTTTCTTTTGAAAATTAAATAATTAAACTAGTTTGTAAATTCATTAAGATATGAATTGTAAAAAATAAGGTGTTGATTTTTTTTTAAATGTTAATCTTCTGATTTTTATTAATGACAACCCATATATTTAGAATTATAGAAATTACATCAATTTGTAAATTTTATTTAAAAATTAAATAAAAATCAAACAATTTAGTTTTTTAAAACATATACAAGTTATATTTTCATAATATATTTTATAGTTACAATAAATGTAAATGAACTTATGATAAATAACAATGACTCTTTTACTAATATACAAGACAATGAGTTATCAAGCATATTAGATTCAACTATTTTAAATACATTAACTGATCAAGTAATAAAATATTAAGTATGTCTAATTGTATAGAATCACAACAATTATATTTAACAAAATAATAATCATAAAACAAAGATGAAAAATTTCAATAAATTATATTGGAACTCTTTCCGATGATCATCTGGACCAAGTTGGCACCAAAAGTAGATTGAAGACTCTGGCTTCAAAGTGAATAATATTCTTAGTTTTACATTAAGTAAA